CCCCAAAACCCCAAAACCCCAAAACCCCGAACTTCAACTAGATAATAGAATTACGCTCTTACTTCAGTTAACATAAATGGAACTAAGACAGAACTATTTAAAGTGAAGAAGTCAATTTTTAAGAGGCTGCATTTTTTGCTAAAGCTAGGGTTCACAAACTATTATGAGCATCAGCACTTAGCTATCCATATTGACACTTCTGTGCTCAATGAAGTGATCAATTGCTGATAACATCTCTTGAGTTGAGTAACTAAAGTTCAGACTAGCCTTGTCTCCTTTCATTGCAACTGCGTAGATGTCATATGTCTTAGCTGCTTCTACTTCATTCGCAAAGGTTCCGATATACTTCTTGGAGCCTCTCACATTGATGAGGGTTTGCCAGTTAAGGTTATTTTTAGATACTCCAATGTAAATTGATCCTCTTCCATTGCGTGATCCAGGGCTTCCTCTTGTACTTTTAGGAGAACTCTTGAACGAAGATAGAAGGTTAGTGAGGATACTCTTTCGAATCCTCATTAGCCTAGTCCTTATGTTGAATCTAGAGGACCTTCTTCTCCTGGGAGTTACTACTTTCTCGTCAATGAGAGCGCCTTTTCTTTCTTCTTCTTGAGCTTGGGGTTTGGAAGAATAAGTCTGAGGTTGTTTGTACTCAAGTAGCTTCTTCTCATATAACTCCTCTTTCGATTGTTTCTGTAGTTCAGTATTAAAGAGTGACCCTGCTTCATACAGCTTCTTATTGCTATAATTTATTTTGGTTATTTGCTTCACACTAGGTGATGCTTTAAATCAATTAAATTTATCCTTTGAAGAATACTTACTTATTTCTAAGGCTAAGTGGCATAAAATCTGGGAGTGGGTGAAGAAGGTGATCAAAGTTTGTGCAAATGTTGCCAAGGTGTTTTATATCTTCTCCAAGCTTTGTACAGGTACAATAAGTCTTATTCAGTTGTAGAATAATACTTGTGTAGTTCCAAATCGGCAAGGATCCTTGTCTCCATACATCTCAGTTAGTGTTTAGATTCATTTTTAAAATAAATTTTATGAATTTTGCTCTTTTAATTTCTTAAGTAGACGATGACCACCAGTTTAAGATTTACATTCTCTAGTCTCACAAAGCTCTAAACTATTGGAACAATTTTTTACGCTTTTATTACTATCCTGATCTCTTTAATTCAGATAGACTTCACCCTTGAGCAGAAAGACTTAGGATAAATAAGAAAGTAAAAATCCTTAAAATTTATAATGGTTCTTTCTGAGACTTAGGAAAATGTTTCAACTTCGTCTTCAGCAATGATGACAGCATATTTTCGATTTTTAGTTGATTCTAAAACCAAGTCTTTGGTTAAGAAGTCTTCAGTTAGTGCAATGTAATCTACGATAAATTATTTTCTTCAAAATTTTGGAAGTCTCAATTTATTAACTTATTGGATGAATCTAAGAATAACCGAAATTGTTTAAGACGAATTTTATATAGAAACAACAGCTTCTATAAGTCTTACATTTTCAAAAGTGTTGATCCTCACTAGCCTACCACTGTGGAGTTCCTACAATCCACCTGACAGTAGGGAGATAGGCCACTATTTAACTTGAGACTATTATTTGTTCTTATAAACCAAGAAGTGCAGTAATTAAGTAGGAGAAATCCCTTATGTTGTTCTCTTGGGTTAGTTTTAGATAAAAGTACTTCAGTAATTCAGATTCTCAAAGTCTTCATTATTTTCATAATTTGTAAGCTCCTCTCCAATAGATGGCTGGACTATTGAGCAATCACAAAGAATTTGTTATACCACTTATGAAGAACTCTTAAATAAAATTCCTTATGCTCGGCAAAGAAGTTGAACGGAAGGCTGAGAATTACTGAGCTTCATTCAAATTTTGCCTTTTGGAAATACTGATAAATTCATTAAAATATTTAACAACGTAGTAGATTTTCGTAAATTTATCCCAATTACTTCTCAAGATATAGGCTAAACATAACAATTTGGAGACTCACAGTATTTATGGATAAGCATTAAAAGCTTCATGGTTCGGGAGAGAAATACAGAAGTGATATTTTTAGAGGATCTCTTGGAACTCAGTCTCCCTGCTAATCTTATCAACCTAACTGAGAGACTTGAATATTTCAAACTCTTATTTTCATCTACGATCATTTTGAGGCTGAGTAATTAAGAATGCAGGTAAAAAGGGATCAACTCATTCAGGAAATTGCTCGAGGAGTTCTAGAGAGCTTTCTTAATTCTGCACAAGGTCATAAATACAGCTTAATTTCAAGAAGAATCAATAAAAAACGAAGGCTAATGTGGGGTAGCCTAAGCCTTGGCTAAAGGAGAAACACCCTTTATACACTCAGTTAAACTTATAAACCTCGAAAATTATCTTTAGCATCAATATAGGAGGTAAATTGATTTTATAAAGCATGAATCTTGAAAGGCAGGCTATAAAAGTTAGATGATCATCTGAGTGTCAAGAAACACTAGCATGCTAAAGACACGAAGTGATGGCTTAAAGTCCTTTCAAGATTTTTAGAGATGTTGTGAATAGTTATACCAAGGTAATAGCATATTCAGGCTGTCTCGCTCTTTTACTTTAAAAGATTATGAAAATATCTAAAAACTATACCTTGTTCTCCATTTAAATTTTTTATAAACAAGGATATTCATGATATTGTGGAGATGCTTCATTACTCTCAATATCTTTCTATCACTATCAGAGTAGAGTGGAAATAGACCAGTAGAAGATATGGAAAATTCCAAAACATCTTCAAAATGAAAGCAAACATCTTGGTTCAACAAGTTAATATTATAACGGGGTTTTGGGGTTTTGGGGTTTTGGGGTTTTGGGG